AAAAGATCTTTTTCCTACAACAAATGAATGTTGTGCCTGGTTAAAACTCATGGCAACACAAATTCATCCCATGGTAACAAACTATTGTCAGTTTAATTACTGCAAACTGCATTTGCTGATAGAGACAGGAAGACAGGATAGTGCTTAGAAGTGTTCTTTCTAAAAAATATTCTAAGGTGTAAATCTTGAGGCCAGATTCTCAGTTTCACGTCTGTCAACACGGAGCAATAGAGGACAGTCCCCTTTGTGTCAGGCAGTGCTCTTGCTGCAAGATTTCTTGCCTGACTCCTTACGTGCCCATGGGACCGATGCAAATGAGACAGACAAGCTGCCCTTTCCCCAGGAAGGAAGGAAACACATGTATGCACAACCCAGGGGAAGCACAGGTTTTTGATACAGTGATTTATATTTCAATCGGGTCTACGATCCATTTATTTATTGATTTCTACTTTTTGTGTCTTATAAACCAGGAATTCAGAAAAAGGTGAAGAGAAATGAAGAGCACGTTGAAACCTCACGCCCACACCCCTTTGTTCAACCTGTGCTTCAGGTCTAAGAGACTTGGTGACACCACCTCTCAAAAGCAACTGCCAAATCCAAAACCCACGGCCACGGAGAACTGAACCCAGCTGACACACACTGGAGTGTTACAGGAAATCTGCTGTTCCACAGGCAGGACCCTGCAGCTTTCTGATAGCAAAGGTTGTTTTCTTTTAACCACGACGCTGCCTTTGGTTTGCTATGTGGCTGCTGGGATGGAAAACCAGCACTCTGCATTTTGCTTTCAGCTCTTGCAATGTGCTTTTCCACCCCTTTAATGTGCAAGGAGCTGAGCCTACATTTAAGAACTTTCCAGAGATAACAAATAGGTCCCACTGGGCAGGCTTATGTATTTATTTTGTCTTCCTTTACAGAGAATGACAACAGGCAAGGGAGTTCAAATGAAGCTCAGAGAAGCCAAAGAGGAAACCACAGGTTTTATTTTTCTCTTCAGAGTTGATGTTTAGTGAGGCCTCATCCCTCAGCATGAGCGATATTGTGCTGTGCTCTTCTAGGGGTTTTAAATACCACAGGTCACCCGGCAAGATTCTGTGAACTCAAATAATCCTGATGTTAACCAAAAGATGCAGATAAACACTCTTTAATTCCTCTCTTCCAACTCTCTCAGACCTCAGGAGAGATACCTGGAGATAAGATGTTCCAGTTTCAGTGGCAAAGGTCTTCTCTGACAACATGCTTTGGGAAGTAAGTCAGACTGTTTATCCTCCGGTGGTAGTTCTGCTCTCTTTGGTTCACAGATCATAAAGAAGAAAATGATTTTCTAATCTCTCCTTCTGTTTATCCCTCTCCCTCCACCTTCCTAATTTCACCCAAAGAGAAAGGTCACCGAGGCGAGACTGACAATGCCGTGCAGTTACGTGAGTTCCTGTGCGTCACTCTGTGCCCAGAAGCACTTTTAGTTCTTTTACTTCCCTCAGTCACGACTCTGCTCTTGAAGGCCCTGCAGCTTCCACAGGAGCATTCTGGAGGCACTTCAGCTTATGTTGCCTATAAGCAGCCACAAAGGATTAACATTTCAGTTTGTAACTGGGTCAGGCTATGCTGGCAACTGGAAGTTTGAGTGGTACAAGGCCCTTCTTCCAAGGTGTGATAAAACTCCCACTGACTTCTACAGCACAGGAATATCACTCCTTCCCCCAGCTCTGGGGGACTGCTGCTTTCCCCATAGATTGCTGGTTTGTAATTAGACCAGGTTATAGCACTGCTGAGAAGCGGCTCTACTGGACTGGAGAACCCAAGTCTAATAATTAACCAGGGGACTAATTTCTGACCCTCTAAACGGAGGGTACCTTACAGCAGAGCTTGAGATGTACAGTCTGCTATTACAAAACCTGCAGCAGCTTTATCCCAGAAATGGAGGTTCTTCTTTCCCTCAAAAAGGGACTGCACAGGGAAAAGATTTTCCTTCTCCCCCGCCCCCCCCCTTTTTTTTTTTTTTTAAGTCTTCGATGTCTCAAACACAAAGAAATTGAGATATTTTGCTCTCTGGGCAAATTGTGAGGTGTGTGTCAGGCTGGGGATCCCTTTGGCCCAATGTCTATCCTCTCATGTCACTGCACGCCAGAGGCCTGGGGTGGGTGCTGTACCTCATGCTAGGGTCTTAAACACATGGCTGGTCGGCACGCTGCCAGCAGCTTACTGAGGGCAGCAAGAAAGATTTGATGCAAAGAAGGAAAATCAACCCCTCAAACAATGAAGTAAGGGGGCCAACTTCATTTCAGGTCCTTTCATTCAGGTCTTCGGCAGGGACTGTTTTATTCTCCTTGCCAGAGCACGGCCAGCTGAGCAAGCAAGGAATGTGTGTGACTGGCACTAGGTCAGTCACTTCACAGAGGTCAATGAAATCACTCACATGCTGAAGGCAGCGAAGCTAACCCAAGCTCAGGTAAAACGTGTTCTTACTGAGCTTTCCCAAATCAGCACCCGCCTCCTGAATAAAGTCCAAGGATTGCTGCAGCTTCCATGTCCTCTTCAAAAAGCTTCCCTTCCCCTCCAGAAGGAAAGTGTCTTCTCCTGACAAACTGACCGAGCTCTTCCCCTACACCATGACAAGCTAAAACATGAGCCATACCAGATGCATCCTGCATTAGTTACCAAATCTCTGCTGCTTTAATCCAGCCTAACAGGACAGACTGGTGCGTGTCACCATGGGCCTTCTTCAACCTGTGACCTTCAGCTAACATTACAGCTGCGGTCTTGAAGAACACGACCTACTCCTTAATTACGTAACACAGCTGCATAGGGCTGTCAAGGACAGAAAAGGGGAAACAGCACCAAGTTCAACACCTGGTCCAGGGCTGACATCACCAGAGTCATCTTCTAGCCACGGGAGTCTGCTCCAGTGTCACCGAGTTTGTTACGACGCAGAAATAGGGATGAGGCAATGTCCATGTCAAGACATGGTCTCTCGGGCCAGGAAATTCACACACAAACATCCACCATGTGCACTTTGGGCAGCTGAATTGTTACGTCTCTTCAGTCCTAGTCACATGTTGACTTAAAGTAAGTCAAGAAAATTCCATTATCATGCCGCAAATGTATAAAATTTGCTTTTGTCTGTGACCTTTGAGTTTGGGAAAAAGACTTTGCTCTGAAATCCAGTTATTGACTAACACTGCTAAGTATGTAAATAGCTCATTCCCAGATCTTCTTCTGACCTTTTCCTGTCATTTCCATTAGACTTTAAACCACACGTTTGGCAGAGCTACTGCCGAGGAAGGGCTTTCACCATCCCCACCCTACAGCCATAGGTACTGTATGCAGGAATAAACGCCGAGAGGCAAAGCCCCTCTCATTTCATTACTGATTTCCATCACCAGCTTTGCAATGAGGATGGATTTGGCCCTTTACCCTAAACAGGCATCCACCTTGGTAACACTTCTGGTTGTTGAAGAAAGCAGATTTGCAAATAAACTGTTTCTTGTCGCACTGATCCTGGCAAATGACTCCACATCACCTCCTATGAACTTTCTAAATCAGGATGTTGCTCAGTTCCCGGCTCACCACTGAATTCATTTGAAGCCGGATCCTGCCCATGGCCAACACAGACTCTTGAAAGGAGAAACCACAAAAAAACTAGCAGATCTGTGAGCAACAACACTGCTGAAGCCTGGTTTTGAATGGACAGTTTACCTCACGTCTAAGAAGGGATGAGGCCTGACAGACACCCTTCCCGGGATTACTGTTTTCACAATGGTCCTCTCTCATGTGGAGTCTCAGGTGTCTATTAACACCGCTGGGTTCACAGTTCATTTCTGTGAATTCTTTGATGTCTCATTATGCAGTTAAGCCCACGCTCCAGTTCTTTTCCTGAGGCTCCTCTCCTCTCTCCAGACACTAACCTCCAGGAAACTCCCAGGACTATCATCTCCAATATCGCTGTCATTGTGCCACAATCAGCCAGCAGCTTCAAGAAGCATTTGGCAAGACAGAGGCTAGGGAGAAGGGAGGCAAGGGGCAAGCAGGCACTCCTCTCACATAAGCATCTTTCCCTGAGAAAACCAGGTTACACACACCATTATACACTCCAACAAACATACGCTGTGACAGCAGGGGTCAAATACTATTTCTTGACCCAGCAGAGAGAATCTTACTCCTTGCTCCATTTTAATCACTGGCCTTTAGATTATCCTGCTCTTCAGAACAATTTCAGACACGGAACTAATTCATATGGTGATGAAGGGCAAAGAAACATTTTAAGTGTGAGAAACTATACCCTTTTGTTTGCTGTGAATCTATTTGTTTATAAAAAAAGTCACCAGCCAGGAAAATCTCAACTTCCTCACTCCCTAAGAATCTACTCCTGGCTCTCTCCCTCCCTTCTCCCTCATTCCCCTTCTCCCCAACACAAGCTTATACTTTTCTTTAGTTAAGAAAAAAAAGAAAATCTTAAACTTGCCTTTTGCCTGGAATTCCTCTTTTTGATTCTCCTCGCTACCATTAAAAAATAAAATAAAATCTAACACTGAAGGCAAATAGCAGTATCCCATCTTAACGTTTTTGTACCAACAGCTCTGATAGAATTTGGTGCCAGTGAGCAAATATGACCATGATCTAACCATAAACTGCATATTCACACTGTTGCCTACTCCAGACATGAAGCTTCACACCCAGAACTGCTAATGCAGCAGCACGCAGCATTTAATGGAAGTCATGTTATTGCCACATGCGCCGGTCTGCTTGCAAAACTTGGTGTTTAAAGGCTCACAGTTTCAAAACAAGTCTTCACTCTCAGACCCTCTGGATCTCAAGGCATGAAATCTGCATCTCTATAGTCCCTGCTTTTAGATATTAGGACCACGTTTAATTGCACAGAAGCTCTGGCATTCTGGGTAAGACGTTTTCAATGAATGAGCAAGATCAGAGACTGCTTAAGAAGACTTCAGCAATACAGTACAGAAAGGCAGATAAAAACAGCCTGAGAAAAGAAACCAATTTACCTGGAGTATTAACAGCATCTGAATAATGGAAGGTGGAACTCTGGCTCTGGAACGTGATAATGCATCTTCCAATTTAATGTTGAGGGTAATTATATTCCTAAAATGCAGAAGAGCCAGCTGCCGAACCGAGGGCTCCTTCCCCTTAGAAGCAGAAACAAAGCAAGAGGGATTATGAGCAGCGTAAAAATGAGTTTCAAATCCTCCATCAAAATTCCTTCCTCCACTTCTGAGGGATTACAAGAAGGGTAAACCTGAATGAAAAGCAAAGGAAACCTAACAAAGGACACAGAGCAGCCTACAAGTCTGCACAGTGATTCTGATTTGGCTGCAGACAAAGGCTGAGTCTGGGTGTGAAGATGATGAAGGGTTGCGGTATGTTGGGGGGGAATCATACCTGAGCACAGGATATCTATGACTATTTTGCATTTTAACAGTAATGAAATGTATCACATGCTTAAAAAAAAAAAAAAAAAAGCAGGGTTGAAAAAAGGTTGAATTTTGATTGTTTCTCAAGATTTTGAGTTCTGGCTGGGTACTGCCTTCAAAATCTTGTGGGAATCCTGACTCAGACCACCTGTGGATTCTCCTTTTCTCTGCAGTTTGGCAGAGTTCACTATAAGGCAGGAGCAGAGCTGAAGTTTCATACTGCATTTTCAGAGACACCTTTTTGCAGTTCAAGAATAACCTTCTCACTGAAGAGAATCTCAACACCATGCTAGCTCTGCCTGCAGAGATTAACAGCAGTTGCCTTATGAGGAGGTGTAAAATAATTTCTGGCATCAGGGTTTCTTCCTTGGGTATCTATGGCTGTACATATATATTCTTGCTTTCAGTTACGAGTGCTGCCAGCCAAATATTAATGCTTCTGGAAAAGTCTGGTATTCAGCTGGTATTGACTTATCTTAGTTTGGAATAAAGAAGCCTGACCCAACCCCACCCATTCCTTTCACTTTGTTAATTATTTATACTGAAGGAAAAAAGAAGGCCCCAAGTCTGCTTCAACTGCTAATGAATAGAATTTACATAAGCACATGAGCACCAGCTGGGCTTTTGGAAGTAACCTCAGAACATCAGGCACCTAGATCTGTTTGAAATTACATGGGACTTAGGTTCCTTTGAAAATTCAAGCAATTATTTCCATCTGAATGGTGAGGAGACTTGTGCAGCTAAATTATTTTCAAGGGCCTCAGGAACACAACAGTGCAAACGGGTATTTGGTGCAATTATCAAAAACATCTGAGTGAGTTCTAATTTAGTCAAGAGCTTTGGAAAACCAGGTTGAGAGTCTACCTCTAGGTGCCCAAATGCATTGGATTTAAAGTATGTGGCACTCAGAAAAATCTCCGGTCACGTTCTAACAGGTTTTTAATACCATCTTATTTCTATCGTTTTGAAGTTTCTACCGGTAAGACACAAGTCAATGGGTGAAGCAGCCCTGTATGATTTTAGAGCTCTTCTCTTTCAGAATCAAATGCTGTGTAAAGTTGCAGCTTTTCCACTGAATTCCGACCTCATTATCTGCAGGTGTAAATTTTAATCTCATTAACATTTTAGACATAAAGTCCATTTGGAAGAATGGGAGGTTTCTGAGGTTTCCCAAAATATGTTTAGGCACCAAGTGGCCTCCAAAATCTGTAGGCACCTAGGAACAACTCCAGGAGGTCACATATACCTGTCTGGTACAGACTGCCTTGGGACTTAAGTGATAAAGAACACCCTGTGGCCATCACTAAATTAGAAAATGGAGCCTCCATCCAAATCAGATCAAGTACTATTGTGGATTTCAAATTACTGGAGTCAAATTCTGTGCTCATGTAAACTGGTTTAACTCCACTGACTATTGCCATCCACTTACAGTAGCATAGAATTTGATCTCAGAAATGCAATTCCTTTCAGAAGTGGCGATACTTCAGAGACAAATTCACGTGGTAGAGAAGGAAATGTATATATTTAAGTCACCACATCTCCACTTATTTCAATTTGCCATTCACAGCCTTTTTTGACTTTTAGTGTGAGCTGGCAGGAGGACTAAGCATCCTCCCCGCACTCCACTTTTGTTCTCAGAGCTCCCCTTCATCTTTTTCACCCAAGCACTTCAAACCTGTTTGCATAAGTAACTTATTTGCATGACATGACTTTCAGAACAGCTGCACTGGGAGGTTGGCCCAAGGAGAGAGAGTTAAGGATTGCATCAATCTGTTGACGAACCAGTAAAGTTGCTTTTTCCAGTTTTTCAAGATTCTATAGTAACAGAGTAATTTTTCACCTGCACAGGATAGAAAATAGCCTGAAGCATGGGCAGGACATCACTGAAGAAAAAATCCCAGGTTTCAGCTAAGGTATCCAGTAGTTTCTGCCCTGCAAAGACACAAAACAAACTAGTGAACCGTTTAGGTTGTGATCAGCTAACTGCAAAGACTGAAACACGGAGGCAACAATGTGAACCTGCTATTATGCACAGAGATGAATCATGTACCAGCTACTATTAGCAGTGTGGATTTAGTACTCCTGTCGGTGTATCAGATCATTCAGTATTTGTCTTTTCAGGTGACACATCTGATAGTCCCAATAAACGCAGACTCTGAGGTTAAAGCTTACTCAGGAAACCCTTGTGAAGAATAAAGAGTAGTAGCCCAGGTTACCTCCTCCTCTTGGAGTAATAACTACTGGACAAGGCTGTGGAGGAGAGCAGGAGGAGGAGGAGACAGCAGGTTAAACCTGGAAGCATTCCTGCAGAGAAATCTCACCCCCCCTCTGCCTCCAAGCTGCAAGGCAGCAGAGCAAGCCGGGTTCTGTGGAGATGCTCCACAAAGTGTCCCCTCAAATCGATCCCTTATCTCCCCCGTATCTCCACCTTACATAGGAAGTCTCGCCCAAGACCTACGGAAGAAGACAATGGTGTGGCAGCTCTGGTTTTTACTGTAACTTTTAAAGGATGCAGACAAAACCCGCTATGATGCAAGTTCCACGTGGCCACCTCCCCAGCTGAGCCACCTGGAAGCCTCCCCAGCGGAGGCTGGAGAAGCTCTGGCCAGGCCGTACAACCAAGTCAGACACCAAGTTCCTCGCAGAACACTTTGCAAAACACAGAGGCAAGTGCAGGAGCTGAGCTTAGGGGAAGGGAAGTCTGGCTTGAGGGGTGCACGCTGGCTTCAGATCACCGTTCCCCACGACAGCCTGTGGGACCTTGGCTTTGCCCCTGCGCCAACCATGAAAGGAGAGCAGTGCCAGGGCACGGCCATCAGCAAGTACTGTGGAGAGAAATACTGCAGGGACTACGAGGCGTTCAGACAGGAGTAGGACTTACCAGGAAGCAAATTCCACAGCAATCGGAGTTACTACTGGTGTCAGAATCAGACACCGTTCTTAATTTTTGTACTACAGCGCTACTTAGGGCCTGAGTCAGGGGACATTTTGCCCAGAACTACACACGTATCACAAAGAGACTCTGCATGAAAGCATCTATGCTCCAAGTTAGCCAAGTGCCAATCCTTATTATGGGATAGTTGATCTCCCTGCATTTTAAAGCACGTGACGAACAGCACCAGCTCCGGCCTATCTGCAACTCCTCAATTATTCCTGGGTTGGTGACTCTAAGTGCTTGCAGTGACAAGTGTGCATCACTCTGCTCTACTGCAGCTGCTGCCTTGTGAACCACGCCAAGGTCTTCGTTTCTGCACCACCAGGCAGGAGTTCTCTCTGTCCTACACACTCAGGCACAAGACTGAAAAGGATGTGTTTTCAAAATTTGCCTTGCATTAGTTCACACAGCAGGGAACCAGGTCCAATATTTCCTAGCAGCTGGAGCAGCAATAATACTACTACTAAATACTGTTGTATTATAACCTCCGTATACTAGTGTCTGAAACACTAGTTTCAGAGATCTAAATCCAGTCATGAAGGAGGAGCCCAACCGCTCCACGCCTCGAGGGCAGAGTTTTAAAAGAGTTAAAATACGTTTGTTGCCCACGAGTTGAGGTTAAGTGGAAACTAAACTCTTACAGATCTGGCTCCAGGTGTGGGCACTGAACGTTGGTCCTTTTCAAATCCTGCTGCTAGAATTGCATGAAGTCAAATTACCCTGTTGAGATAAACATGCCTCTACTGTCGCACACTCTTTTCATCCTGTGGGCAGCTGCTTTGTGGAGTGATGGATCTCTGTACAGCAGCTCAGAAAGGCTGACGAGTTAACTGCCTTTGCCAGGCAGTTTTTTGCTGGGGGCTGTAGAAGAATTCCTACGGTTTGTTGACCATAAGCATCTTTCATTCCGTGTCCTTTCAAGAGTATGTTTGTTTTACCGTCAGGCAAAGATGCCTACATTTACCATAAGCATTTCCAGGAAGGTGGGTTATTCTAAATGCTTATTTTAAGGAAGCACAATACAGCCAGTTTTGTGTGACATAAAAATGCATCTAGTGCTTTTCACAGTTAATTGAAACTCCTGAAAGAAATATAAGAATAAAAAAAAAAAAAAAAAAAAAAACAAAACAAAAGCTAAAATTTTCAAAACCTCCTGCAGGACAAAACCCCTCTAAAGTGTGACCTTTTTCCTCTTTTGAAAACTTCAACACCAACTGGATAGGTAAACTCAAACCATGGGATGTGGGACAACCCGAGGGGTGAGGGCAGGACCGCTGCTGCTGCAGAGCCAGGAAGGGAGCCCTGCTAGGAATGGGAGCTCTCGAGATTTCTGCACTCCCAACTTTGTCTCAGGTGTTGGGAGCTGTGGGACCACTGAGTAGGGGATGGACTCTGGGGTGCTGCTGCCTGTGCAGCCAGGAAACCCGAATTCCAGCCCTAGAAACTCACACCCGTCAGCAGCTAACAGAAAGCTGTCTGTCAGACAAACCTCTGCCTCTGCATGAGAGTCCTAAATTACAGCTACCCTCCTGGTAACTCGCCCGTTTCAGTGAGCCAGAATTTCCGAGGATGGATTTGGAAAAAAACAATTAATTCTCACCTTACCACCATTTCTGACCATATGTTAAGGGGCAAACACAAAATGATATACCAAATTCAAAACCAAAATAAACTTAACAGCTTGCTGAAATCTTGTATTTGCTAAACATGCTCCTACATTTGAAAGCTGTTTAGTGGTCTCGCGTTTCAGTTTTTCATCTCAACTCTGATCTCAAACACCAGAGACAGTATTTTTCATTTTCAAGCTAGTAAAACCAGAAAAAAAAAAAAGGGGGGTTGGACTTTGGTAGGTCTCTGCATCTAATTTGTTGATTTGATACTTAAAAAACAATTTCCTTTATGATTTACAAACCAGCTATGAAGGCTTTGAGATCCTTACAGCTCCCCTGTGCTCTCCAAGCTGTTATTTCATATAACTGAGGAATTCTGTTCAGCTTAAAGAGTCTGGGTATTTTCTGGGAGGTATTTTTTCATGTGAAGTTTGTTCTCCTTTTTTGCAGTGTTCAGGGCTACTGTCATCAGAAAAGCTGGGTCCCACAGCACCATCTTCATCTGATCAACTGTCCTGTCAGTAATGAAAGGTCACATTTAGGATTTATAGATAGCTGAAACGAATGGAAATGGTTGTCTCCAGGCTACTGCTTAAACAGTGCATTTAGAATAAGTGGTATTATGACTGCAGCTTTGGAAAAGGAAAGATGCATTTCTTTAAAATTGCCTCAAGACTGCCCAAAGATCTTCAGGCTGCTTATATGGGCAATAATTCCTGAGGATATTCTGAAACCATTTCACCCTCTGATGATGTAGAGAATCACAGAATCATTTAGGTTGGAAAAGACCTTTAAGATCACCAAGTCCAACCCCAAACTGCCCAATCCCACTAAACCCTGTCCCTAAGTGCCACATCTACACATCTTTTAAATACCTCCAGGGATGGTGACTCAACCACTTCCCTGGGCAGCCTGTTCCAGGGCTTGACAAGCCTCTCAGTGAAGAAGTTTTTCCTAATACCCAACTTAAACTTCCCCTGGTGCAGCTTGTATGCCTACACCTAGGACACAGCAGCACATCTGAATGCTGCACAACAGCGTGAGACACGAAACGAGGGTGACTGTGAAACGACACCTAGGGTGGAGGTTATCCTCGCTGTATACTTCTATAAGGGGACATCTCCAGAAGGTGCAGACAGACAAATGGAGCCTTGACTGTAAAAAAAGAGATGCGGCCGACCTGTTTATGTAAGCGTGAATCCAGACTAACTCTTAAAATAACCTACAGCGCTACTTGGGACTTAGCCAGACACTTCACCTAACTGTGATCTTAGTGCATAGGTTTTTGTTTATTAAGATATCTCGCTCTGGTTTTCCACTTTTCCTTAACGCTGAACAGGCTATAACTGAGGGAGAAGGAGTGTCCATGCTGGAGGTCATCTTTCCTTTACCCCCTTGCTGCTGGCTCTAGGCAAGCACCTCTCTCTGGTGAAGGGCAAGGGGAGCACAAGGCAGGACACAAGAGCAGACTGCAGGAACGAACTGACACAATAACCCCCAGTCCCGGGAAGAGAGCGGAAAGCATCACACTGCCTCCAGAACCCATCTGCTGAAATCCTGCGGCAGCCACAGAGAGCCATGCTAAAATCCAAGTTACCTTCGTAAAACCGGATCTTGTCCCTTAGGATCACCATGCCTTTTGTGAGCAGCTGATTCTGTAAATAAAATACAGACTACCTTTACTCAGTTCTCTACTTCCCTACAGCCATTTCATCTCGCATTTTGCTCATTCTTAACTTTTGACAGTAACGGGGGTCTTCTATTTTAACGGTCAGTCATCGAAGGACTCCTCCTGTGTCCATCTTGCTTAAAGCACTTGGGACACTCGTTAAATGATGATATAATCACCTTCTGCTTTCAGGACACAGCACATGTTCTGCGTGGTACAAAGTGCTTCTCAAACTTCAAATGGCTGACCCCCCAAGCATATTCTCTGCCTCAGAGAAGCAGAAAGGGTACTGCTTCAATGGACAGTCTGTACTGATCACTGAAGGTCTTTCCTAGCAGCTATACTGGAACAGACTTAACTGGTTTACTCAGGAATTTCAATTTTAAGTTAAAAGAGAATGTCTGAAGTCTACTGAAAGACAGCAGTGACTGCACGACTGCACAAATCCACTCCACGGCTTGGGCTCTCGCTGTCTAACTATATATAAAATCTCATTAGTCGGTAGATGACAGAACACAGAGAAGTCAGTGGACATCTCTGAATGGTTCAAGGGGCTCTAGATCACCATTTAGAGTGGGTAAAATGATTTTGCTCAGTAGCATATAACGAAATCTGATTTAAATGAAAGGAAACACATGCCTACCTGTAGATATTCGGTGAAAAAGGATCCCAGTTCTGTTTTCAATAATTGCCTGTATTAAAAAGAATAAGAAAAGGATCTGTGTAATCAGCAAATCATATTAGCTGTGCGCTGCACGGAAAAGGGGAAGTCACTAATAGCAAAATATTTTCATACGAGCACAAATCCTGTCAATAATGCCTAACAATAGAGCAAACAGGGTCAACAGTACCAAGACTCCCAAACAGCATTTCTGTGTGTTGAAAAATATCTGCTGTGCTTTTAGATGGCTCAGTTGTCTGAGTACACATGAAAGAAAATTGAGATTCGGCGGAAAGAGGATGCTTTCCATCCTACACCTAATCCTTTTAAAGGTGGCACCTGGTGTTGCAGGCGTGGGAGAAGTCCTGGTGCTCTCTGCCCATCCGTGGGGCCGAGCCAAAAACTGAGCGTGTGACCTGGCTGACACGTTCAGAGCCGAATCAGCCCTGTCCCACCCACGGTGGAAAAAAAGAGCTGCGAGAAAATGTTTAGAGAACAACCTGAAGCAGGATGACATTCTGCGGGGTTTGTTGCAGGTGTGACACTTGGCCAGTTTTCACTGAAAGGGTCATGATCTTCCACTCAGGAGACTCACGACAGCTGAAGTTTCATACAGTTTCAGTGAAAAACCAGGTAGGAATTTAACAGTTAACCCTGCCTTTCATGATCCCACTCCACTAAAACCTACGAGGCCATCTCAGAGAGCAAACCAAACTCCCATGGAAAAAAACAAGCCTCAAATTCAGAACCTGAATTCAACCCGACCCGCAAGCCCAGTGTTTGTATCCAGGTAAAACTGACTGCACTGCTCAAAAGCTGCACGTCGCCAAAGTCCCCCACGTGGGGTGCTAGATGTGCTTCTCCGCACGCGGGTCACTGCTGAGATGCACAAATGACAGCTCGGACCTTCCAGAAATGTAACCCCAGCTGGGTTTTCTGAGCATGTGCAAATCTGGGCTAGAGCCCTTTTGGAAACCTGTCTCTGTGTGACTACCTCAGGTCCCATGAAGAAATGAGGTCAAATTCCACTTAAAATCTATCCACGTGCTTCAATTAGGGCACTTATGTAATTATACATTCAGTAGCATGTTATCATATATCCGTTCGGGTTATGTCTTTAACTAACAAATAACTAATTAATCACATTATTTAACTAGCAAACAAATACATGTCTGGTTTAAAAAGTCCAGCATATCCCTACGCTCCATGAAAATCTGCAGGAGTTGGAGCCATTCCTTTTAACACCAACACACTCCAGCACAGTCTCTTGAGATCTTCTGAGAGTTCAGGGAAAGAAGGAGCAGGCCAGCCTTCAGGAGGCCGAAATACAATATCTTATTTATTTATCCTTAAGCACATGTCCACACTGACCTCACAGCACCCTGTGGAAACACTCTAGACATAAATGAAACAGAAAATAAACAAAAGAAAGGGGCTTTTCAGACGTCCCTAAGCATCAAATTCAGCTAGAAACCTGATTAATTCAGACGGACTACCTACGGACAAAAATTTTCAAAGCCAGCTCAGGCTTCGGCCATAGGTCTGTCACTGCCATGAGTGGCCACTGTATGGCTAGTCCCCTGGCACGCTGTGGCAACATACGGGAGAGGACAACCCCTGCAGTGCCCTGGGACTCCATCCTCAACAGCACCCACTGACAAACCCTCGGTAGGGGTTAAAACTGACCTCCCCCAAAGACTGCTGAAGTCCTAAAGCCTTAACAGGATGTCCCTGAGTACGAGGATGCTGCAGCCAGACCGTGGCAGGCTTACTGGAGGTGGAAATCCACTCTCCAAGTGGTGGGATTTTTGTCTGGATTGCAAGCCATGGCACTAAAGGTTTCTCTTACTTTGAAAATGGATGGATAAAACCTTTTTTTTGGTTGAAATAACAAGAAAGTTGCAGTTTTGAGTTCTCCTCTGGTAATATATTCCCAGATATCTCTTTGTGCCACTACTTCAAAAAAATACTGATACTTTATGCTGACAGGTTTTGCTTAATATTCTACCCTCTCCTCAAGCTAGCAGCTCTTTGAAGTCTGGTCCTAGATTCCTCGTAGTCTTGAAGAGGTGATTTGCAAAGACCTTCTCCTTTTATATTTTAGGTTCTACCGATAATTCCTGGCATTTGGGGCAGAAAATACAAAACAATGTTTGACTTATCCAATAACTAGCCCTCTGATAAAACAAAATCCCACCACATTTCCATTTTTTCAGCTGCAGATGAACCAAACGACCAGCTTGTAGTTAATTATATGCACTGGAGTGCATCACACCAAGCAGCACTATGGCTACATTTGCATCTCTGTTTACAGGGTAGAAGAACTGACAACACAATTAATGTCTCTTGCTTTTTGAATCCCTAATAATACAGATACTTCACGCTACTTAATTAATTTCTAGTGAAATAGTCAGGCCCTCAGGCCACATCAGAACACTGGGGTTTGATGTTCTCTGCACCCATATTAATTTAAAAGAGATCCACAACAAAACTGGATCCAAGACATCGCTTGCAATTTTTTTTTTTTCATCCTTGCTTAATTTCCTTTAACTAAAATCAGTTAGGTTGTCACCTGTCAGATCCTGGATAATTCAGATTACTGAATAACCTCATGTGGCCATCATGGTGGAATCCAAGTAAAAATTGGATTGAACCTAAAAGAGATCCCTGATCCGAGAGCAGACCTTGCTTCAAGTGCATCTGATTTTGAAGCCAGTCATTTTGCACTCCTATGAAACTCGTGTAGCATTGGTATCAGGTCTTCGTTGCCAATTTAATGACTTCAAAAGTTAAGATGATAATATAAATTCACCTAAAATATGCTAAAATAGCTCCTGACTTTTTATGTATCTTCCTGCTGCAGCTTCTTTGGTTCATTTTGAAGTTAACTCTTGCAATGTTACTCAGAACAGAAAATCTAACACTGTGTAATAACTGATAAATAAAATTAAATGAAGCAAATGGAAACAAGTGGTTTTACTGGGTTTGAACTCTTGCTGCGAAAGAGGAAATACAACTAAAATGTGCTTTGTTTGCATCAAATCAGTATCCTGAAAATTCAGAAAAGAGGCATCTATAAATATGTATGAGCTTAATACAGGACATCCTGTTTCCACTGTGTTTCCCTTCTTTTTCTTCCCTGATTTACAAGTGGTGTAAATAAACACTCTGAAATGACATATGGTACATGAAATGAAAAAGGAAAAGGCACTATACGATTACTAATATCACACACGTGCACCGAGAGAAATACTAAGTATATGCAGATAGATTTTTACTACCTGACTTGTGAATCAATCCCCTATTAAATCCCCTAGTAAGGGCTCAGAAGTAGGAACGTCCAGGCCACACACTGGTGATACTCCCAGTTCCTGGAGTATCTTCTCACCTCCTGACTGTACTTCATTAGCTTTAGCCGAGTCATTCAGGAGTTACAGCAATAGGAAAGGGAGCCTGAAACCACACACTGGTTTACAGGGCCTCTGAGTGTGATATAAATCCATATTTAAGGCCACTTTCCAATGCCAGAATGCAAGAATGGTGTCAAAAGGCATTGGTGTAAACAAGTGGCAGCTCTTATGAGCCAAACCCAGAAAAAAAAGTAAATGGTCCTGTACGGATTTGCACCCACTGATGTTTTCTTAAATAACCAGAGTCCAAAGCCTCGAGACGTACGTTCAGAAAAGGAAGTTACATGTATTTGCCTGCACGTATGTGACATACAGTGGTGGAATATACGTGACAGTCCTGAGTCAAAACAATGGTGTGCAAATAGTACAGGCATAACCTAACTGTTCAAACATTCACACCTGGTCTGTGAGTCAACTTGGATATTCAAGGTTTTATTATGAAAAGTCTCCCTGAATCTGCTCTAATTAAAGCGGTAAAATAACTTCTTTTACTCTCCTATAATTGTTGAAAAAAGTTACTGATACCAGCCAATTACCTGAATGCTTCCACACTCAAATTCCGCCCAGTGGAAATAATGACTATTTGTTTCTTTTTATTTAGGTACTTGTGGGGAAAATGCACCTAAAACAATCATAAGGCAAATACATACTTGTTCCACTTCTGAGGTCATGTTTATGAATCAGATATTTTTGCATTCAATAACATTAACCCAAAGAAAGCTATTTTGAATTAAATAACAACAGGATTAAGCCACATATTTTTGGTGTGTGTCAAATCAGTAGTTTCACAGTTAGGTTTTCAGCTGAATTTAAGTGAGGCAAAAGGGCTTTGGTTGCAGATAGTCAGGAGGCCCTAAAACGTTATCGCCTGCGGTCAGCAGGACGATGCAGCCCGCAGCAGGAGTGCAGCAGCTTCTGGAAAGAGAGGGGCTGTGGCTGCGCGTGGGAACGGGCGTGCTTCAAAACACCACTGCCATGCCCTGCTCTAGGGACAGATCTGCCGGCTGACGCGTGCCCCTCGCCCACTCGCGGTTTTCTCATCCGAGCTTTTCTCTGTGAATGAAGCAGCGGGACACGCACGAGAAGCCTGATGAAAACAAACCCAGGAGTTGTCACGGAGAGGATGGACGGCTTCTGGCAATAGATCAGAAGGCTGTTCATGCCAAGTCGCAGGCAAGAGGAACCAACCTCAAAGCAGCAGACGATGAGACCCAGTCCCGAAAGCCACGCTGCACCCCGCCAAACGCTCCCTCACCCCAGCAGAGTTAGGCTGCTGATGCCTCCTTTACATCAGCAGCTTTCTAGCTCAGTTGAGATTTCACAATATTTTTGTCCATCAGCTCAGGAATGAGCCACCAGGCGTTGTTCTCCCCCAAGCAGAGCAAACCTGAGCCATCAGCTGAGATAACAAAGCGGTGGTATCCTTACCCTAACAAAAAGAAATGGGCCTATCATGTGGCAGCAAAGCCCATCAAAAAATGAAAAAAAACATCAGTCTGTTTGCAGTCAGCTTGCCTGTTCGTCTGCCCGGGATGTTGCAATAAATTCAGCACAACTATATTAGCAAGCATCATCATGCTGTAGGGCTTATACCCAGGTAAATAAAAGCAGAATCTGAGCACAATTCACCAGATGACATCTATGTATCTTCTATTTGTTGGTTCATACAAGATTTTATTTGTCTCTGTCATATCAGCAGATGATTTTTCCTCTTCTGTCCCTCACCCGCAGACGAGCATCCTGAGGCAAGTGCATTGGGCCAGGGAATCTCAGCCCAGAACTACCATTTTCTGTCATTCAGATAAAGCTGAAGAATCCTAACTGCACTTACGGTAATAACGATCAACCATTATTCCAATAACTAACTCAAAATGATTGATGGATCATGCCAACTGACAGCCATCCTAGAAAAGCTATTCTTTACATGTCATTTTCTCCCCAGAGAAGTAAGAACTAACTGGAGAGTAAGTTTCTTTTGATTTTAAAAAGACAGAGAGAGGGAAAAAAGAGAGATTAGAGGCCAAATGTCATTCACCTGGACTCCTCTGAAGATATTCCCCCAATTAAAGGAATCAGACTGCACCACCTATCCCAGACTGGGAACCAGACAGGGACAGATAATTCCAGAATATTTAGATATTTTGTGGATTTTGTCAGACTCAGTGCCTGGATAGAGTGGGAATAAGCAGTAAGGGAAAGGGAATCACTGAGGCTCTTATCTGAAGATGGCCAGGGCATGTAATAAGCTGTCTGTCCTTTGTCAGTGCAGCTTCTTTTCCACTGTTTATTCTTCAAAGCGTTGGGACAAATTTCTAGAAGGAAATCTGCTACTTTGCCCTTGTCAGTGAGAGAGAGTTTAGTAAATAGTTAAGTGCTAGAAAAGGTAGTAAAAAGCGCTGTAAACCCAGATATCAACTTACCTCTTGGTAAACTTTTCCTTGCAACTCTAACTTAAATAAACTGAAGGGTAGGATTTTCACCTTTTTTTTTTTAAAGGAAAAAAAGCCTCCATTGTACCTATCACTGGTCTGTCTTTAGTCTGTTGCGAACAGTATCATCACAATACAAGAAAGAAATAGGAACCTTAAACTGCATTCCTCAGGCCACCGAGCTGACAAGACAGGTTTAGGACATCTACAGCGTGCTCAGCCTGCGTGGAAGTTGCAGCTCGATGCAAGGGACGACCAGGCAGGACACTGTTCCTTGCTGCGTGGCACTGAGCACCTCTACAGCCCCCACCGATGCAAGGGAGGCACCTCAGAGCCAGGCCTGGCACCTACAGAAAGGGCAGCGTCACTGCGGTGGAGCAGGGCTGCATGAGTACAGGGGGGCAGCTTTTCCCTTCCTTAGTTTCAATCCAGTACATTAAGACAGGCTCTGAAACAATCCATCCATCCTCCACGTGGCTAAACACCTCCCCTGCAGGAGGAACCTGGCTCTCGCCAGGCAGCGAGGTGCTGACACGGGTCAGCAACAGCTCTTCACTGAGGCCAAACTGACTGTTCTGGTTCAAACTAACACCGAGGGAAAAAAAACCCCAAACCACAACTATTAATCCTGGTGTAGAAGTTTTCAAATGTGAGTGTTAGCAAAGAGCGCTGTGCATGCTGGGTAACAACACCTTGTGTAGAGGCGAGTCTCTTACCTGACTCCTTCATTGAGGTTGTAAAGTTCATGGTCTGGGAGACCCTTGCGCTGGAACACCGCGATTACTCCATTGTGGATGCTGCAAGAGGACACGAGGAGGCATTAGCACCCGGTCACACTTTAGAAGGGTGTCATTTCCACAACAAGCCTAACATCTCTGCTTAGGCACTGCAGGACCGTTTTAAAAGTGACAGGTGGTACCCCATCCCAGATGCCTTAAAGGGAATTACCGCCTAGAAAACATCTCTGATGCATTCTAGGCAATAGAACATCTCTGAAAATCAGTTCTGTTTGATTTGCTCCAACTTTAACAGTCGCACACCTGTGTGAGACGGGATGTGACAACCTGAAATCGGGAATTTCAGAAGTCAGGCTTATATATTTTAGGTGCTTGAAGTGTATTACGTAAAACTTTTAATCTATTCCTGTATTAAGTATATTTGAAAGCATATTTTTGTCTCTATGGCTCACCACAGAGACAATCAACAGCTTCACTGTGAGATCAGTGAGATCAGTGATGCTATTCCCAGCATTGTTGGCATGTATTTGTCTGAGCTATGGTTACTTGATTTCTTCATCCACAAACCAGCATTTATGCAGGCTGGGCACTATACTTGAACTTTAGCTCACAACTATAGCATCCCTCTACTAGAACGTAATCTCAAGAATGGTTAGTTCTTTAAAAAAGAATAAAAGAAATACTGGAAAAATTACGAATTTTAAGTCAATTTAACCAATCTCTCATTTATTTTCAAAAATGGAACAACAGGAAAGAGGCAGAGACTGTTTCCGATTACCACTCACTCATTTTGCAAAGATTTATGCTCTTGATTCATCTAAAGGAAAACCAAGGCTGTGCTGAAAGAACAACACGCCTAGAGTTTCTAAGGAGGACAGCGAGAGAGGCAGCGATGTGCTCAGCATAAGCCAACCATCTGTCCTACCAAAAATACTCCCTTTTCATTTTCAATACCATTTGTAACTGTGCTGCAAGCAGATGCTGCTGAAAGGTGGTGACTTTCTGCTGCAACCAGACGCAACCCAAGACAGGATTGAGACTGCAAAATTCTTGAGCTCCACAGAAAGTCCCGTGCCCAGTGCTGTCCGTCCCTGGGGTGTATGGTCACCAGCCCCCTAAATTCTGATGGCAAAAACCTGCCAGGTACTGCAGGTACCCGACAACCACATGCTTAGCAGGGATGCTCTCTGGTCCCTGGAACTTAACAAGAGTGCACCTCAAAGGGTTACTGAGATGAGCATGTGCTTCAAGATGAAGCTCTGAAATGCTCCTGAAATACACCTGACACAATTAGCGTGATGACACATCGGTGTAAATCACTGAGCTTATGTCTGAGGACAAAGGTAAAGAAATGCCGGTGAAAGGTGAGACCAAACCTGTTCCAGCATTAGTAGAAGGGAGTAGAAGTCTCCTTCCCCTTCCCTGACCCAGTGTCACCTTCCAGCCTCACCACTTTGCCTCCAGAAGAGAAGACGACTCACGCGGTCCCGCTGTCTGTCAGCTCATCCCCACCCCTCCACTCCTGGAACCGCTGGGCACCCTCCACCACAGTCAACTACGGAGTGGAAGTTCCCCAAAACAGGAAGGTCTTTTAGGTTTCAGCTGGGGTAGAAGGAGCACCTTTCCGCAACCAAAATAATCCTGCAGGGTGAGCTTAGCCTTTACTCAACATGCGCACAGATGCTTCAGCTTCCTGAGACCAAGAGAGAAGAAAGCAGCCTTCATCTGCTCCACTGCTCCTGCCGCTCGATTTCCAGTACGACTGCTTTTACTGCAGTGGCCATTCCCACCGCTGGCAGTCACTGCAAGTTATTGCATTTCTGACTCAGTTACCCCATATCTCAAATAAAGATGATGACACTGACCACTAAAGGGTATTTTAAGATGTACTTATGAAAATCATAAGGAAAGCATGAGTGTGACTATCAACAGCAGCATTACATGCCGTCCTTGCCACTGTTTTTCTCCTCTTCCCTCAACATCCTGCTAACTGCAAAGGGAAAACACAGATTTTGGCACGTGGCCCCTCCCATTTAAGGCTGCACCTGAGAAGGAGAGATGACTTCTTAAGACATTTTACAAAAAACACAGGGCAGAAGCTTTCCTGCTCTGCACCAGCTCCCTGGGTGTCTCTCACTCTGCCTGCCCCCTCCCAGCCTGTACTCAGCAGGAGCTAGGAACAGCAACAACCAGCCTCAGGGATGCTCAGGAAGTGTATTTAGGAGCCACCAAATTGAATCTCACCCCTAGAACATCTGAAAAGATCTTCCAAGAATGAGAAGCTACAGCATACACATCCCTCCTGGGGAGCTGGTTTGACTAGTGACTTTGCAGCTGACCTCCCCCAGATCACACTGCACTGGAGTCTGGTGCAACGGAGCAGCAACCAGCTTTGGAGCTCTGGAAAGCAAAACCAGGACCCGATCTGCCCATCCTGGAGGTACCAGGACTTAGGGTTGCCTCGTCTTGTGAAAAAGAGCTAAAAGCAGGATCTTTGTGAGGTTTCCAGAGGGAAGAACCCTGATTCCCACTGGTGGACAAGCTTGGTGGGCTCAGCACCAGAGCCAGCCCCATGTGGCTGCTCCCACTGCAAGGGGATAGCAGTGCAGGCCCTGGGGGGGCCCTGGGGACCCCCCGCACCCACATTAAACCTTCCCAGATCCACGGTAAGACAACCCCTTTCAACGCTTTCCAGGAGCAGAGGGCTGGGCTGGCAGGTAAACCCTGGTCCCTGAGATCCGAAATGCAGGCACACAACAACGCCGAGCGGCTGGGGGATGCACTGTTAGGAAAGCTCAGCCACGTTCCTCTGTGGAAAAAGGAAATTAAAAGTGGCAGGTGAAGGGTATGACCCACTGTGGACAAACGCACAAGCAGATAAAAATAGGAACCATTATCCTCCTCTCTCTTTCACTCCTTTGACAGTATTTCCAAGGCGTTAAGCACTCCCCCTGTCACGGTGGTCCCTCTTTCCCCCCCACACCCACGTGCACAGACTCATGATGTAACCCAGCTTATTTTGGCTGGCTCAGACACACTCAATTTACGATTAATTGAAAATTGGCAGCTAAATGTCTGTAGTATACAGCGAAGCGACTTGGGTATTTTAATATTATGAGTAATATGTGAAGTACGATTAATGTAGTGAGTAAAACAAGCAGTCTTTACACGCTCTTCTGATTCGGAAATGAACTTTGCAATGTTCCCTGCCAGCCTTCTGCAGAGAAGAATGACTAAATATCTCTCCTAAAAGTCAACACGCTCTCTCTCCTTCTCCCCGGCACTCCTTTCTAAACGAGGGGGAGGTTTTCTCTTTCCAGCTTAACAGGTCCGTTATTATTCCTCAAAGAAAAAAGAGAGGACAAGGTTTTTTTACAAGAACTAAGGGGGACAGGTTGTGAGTGTTTAAGTGTGTAGTAGAACTAGACCTACATAAAACATCCTGGCGGTGATCTTTTCATCTGCCTGGGATGTCCCTTGCACTAAGGGTCAACTGCCTTGTCTGAAGCACAAGTCCTGGCTCTGCTACCGGTGGCATAAACTGGTGTCAGGGTAATAAAAAGCTAGCTTAAATCTCCTTAGTTACCTTCAGCTATTGAAAGATCAACGAACCCAACCCTTGTTTAAATCAAAGTAGTGCCATGGTTTCTGTGAGTGATTAAAAGCATTTAGTCAGAACTCTACAACCTTCTGGTGTAAAGAAAATCTGAGCTGCTGCTCACACAGAAGTCCTGCAAGATGCTTGAGGTGGGTGGATCACCTTTACTTGTGCCTGCGACCAGCCTCCACTGAGGCTTAAGTCAATAATATATGTAATTAAACTTATATTTTAATTGTTAACCTGAACTGAAAGAGCCCTGTAAACTCCCTTCTATAACTCTTCTACAATATTTAAGTTAATAATGGGCGCACTCACGCACTGATACTACTCTGAACGCCTCCCTGTAGCTGCTGCATGTGGAAACGTGTGCCCAAGAACACAGCACTGCAGAGACAATGAAGAGCCCCCCAAAACGGTCAGTTCCTGAACTGCCCAAGCTCCGTACTGAATAAGGTTCCAGTCTCCAAGCAAGACCAGACTTCCCACTGTATGTCCAGGGTTACAAATGCTTCTGGTTTGCTGTACTGTACCAACAGGCGCATTTTCTGCAGAAGCACAGATGTAACCTCCTACTCCTGCAGCGCTGCCCCTTCTTCTGCTTAAGAAACGAGCAATTCCTAATGCTCCCTGACTAGTACCTTCTGCCAGAACAAGGGGGACCTGGAAGCTCTCTGCACCTGAGCAGTGCACCTCTGAAACAAGCTACAGCCACCCTCACACCGTGAGAAAAGACAGATCTGAGAGTTACGGGATAACAGCATTTCTTGAAAGCGCACCACCAGTTCATTAGCCAGCTCCTCAACTGGTATGAATCAGAGTAAATTGCCGTGGCAGTTTTATTTAACCTGAGTCCAAGCACTAAGACATATTGTGCAGACACCTTTCCACTAAAAATATGCCACGGGTCACTCTGGTTTGAAGACTATAGCTAGAAGATGACATTTTGAGAGACCAGCGGCAGGGCAGAGGCTTCCCACGGGTCAGTGGGTGGGCAGGGAAGAGAGAAGCATGGCTAGAGCAGGCTGGCTGCAGGAGGGGAAAGCAGGACCAGGAACCTGCAGGGACCAGGGTTATTTTGGGAAGTTGCTTTTAGAATGAAGACAGAATGTCAGACAGCTCTGGCAAGGTATTGTACTTATCTATCCCACAGTGGCTACAGATTGCCAAAAGAAAACTACCTACAACCAAGAGAGCGCTCACAGCAACAAAAATCAACCCAGCAGCCCAAGAACCGTCCCCTCTTTGGAGAGACTACTCATCGTAGATTTGCCCGATCCTCCAGAGGAGACGGCGGCTCCAGGACTCGCTGTTCAGCTCCCTGAAACATGGGGAACGGCAGCTCCAGCACTCAGAGCCCAGAACTGCCCCCCCCGTGTGCTTCAGCACAAGGGGATGCAGAGGTGCCAAGCCCCAGAGCTGGATGCTCAGGGCCAGCGCTCCCAGGCAGCCTAACTGCGTG